CCCACACACACACACACACACACACACACACACACACAATGTATGAGGGCATTAGAGGGACAGGCCAGACTTCGGGTGGGAACAAGGCACAGGTAGAGAAAATCTGGCAAATTGCAGACATGGGAAAAGAAAAGTCGTTAAAAGGAAATTGACTCCTTTCAGGAGAAGGGTAAACACCAAAATGTCAAACTGAAGATTTGGAAAAACAAACACTTCCAATTCTTTGTGGATAAATTTGCTCATCTGGCATTAAGATGATGCCCGCTGACTAAACTCTCGTTCCTGCTGAACTGAGCCAGTGTATTTGATCAAACTGCTGTCAGCTCAGAAAGCACGAGGGGGAGGCCAGATGTTTTCTCAGGGGATCGTGAAGATGGTAAAGAGACTCCACATGTGACCCCTGATAGTCACAAGGTGAAATTCTACATAATGAACAAAACATGGCAGGAGTGTAATGTCCTCATAAAACAGTCTTCAATAGAGCCAGTCGCCAAGTTAAAAAAAAAATGCCGATCGTCTCTGTATGAGTGACGAACTTAGCCACTGTGAACAAATATTCAAGACTCCCTGGTCAGCAGTCAACTAAGTTCTGCACCCAATCAGACACTGTACACATGACACAGCTAGCACCAATCCACTGACCGTGCCTCGGATGAGCTCTTTCAGACTGGTTGCTTGAAGAACCTCCAGTACACAGGTATATGCATGCCCTCCAGGAACAGTCGGAGACTCCGTAGCAGTGCAGTAGTCTCTGGCAATGTGATTTCAACTTTGTGGCCCAAATCATCTTGCCAGAGACACACACAGCCACAGAAAATCAGTCGTTTCTCCGGAGAAATCCCCCACTGCTCTGCCTCCCTGTGTGGTTAGTAGTCTTTCTCCTGATACTCCAGTCCACCTTCCCCTGACAGGCTTCCATGCTCTATTTAACTTGGGGCATTTCCCTGATTAACAGTGACTCCAGAGGCCTGAGGAATTCCTAACATGACAGTGTGTTCCTCTGACAGTAACCGATCGCCCCTTTGTGTCTTAAGGTGAGCAGGTGTGAGGGCTTTGGTGGCACATTAATCCGATGGTTTGGGTATCCTCCCCCAGGAAAAGACAAGTGTCAGCCTCAATTTTTCCTGGTGGATTTAGTGGGTTTTCTGCAACATTCATGATGGAAATTCCTGCCTTCAAGTAAAGAAATCAGTCTCTAGTGACCGATTTGCTCCTTTTATATATTACTAGAGGGACAAAGGCACAGTCTAAATATTAGGGATAGCATGTCCCCTGCATTCAACCTGAAGTCAGGAGGTGCAACTCTTTTGTTCACCATGTCTACACAGCAAGAATTTTTCTGTATTTTTCGGATCATAAGGTGCACCGTCGATGAATGGGTCTGTTTTCATACACAAGGTGTCACGGTTCTGGGTCATTTTGAACCAGCTTTTTTGGTTTCTTGTATTTTGGTGTTTTTCTAGATTATGTTCATTATATTTATGTTCTGATTCTTTAGCTATCCTGTGTTGATTATTTTAATTATTCTGGTTTAGGTTTTGTTCTCTTGCCCTCATGTTTAGTATAGGTTTAGTTCTGTGCTTAGTCTTCTCTGCTTGTGTGTCCCTCTGTGTAAAGTCCATGTTTCTCAGTCCGCATCTTTGTGAATTGTTTCTGGTTTCCTGTTTTACTTTGAAAGTTCGTGTCTCATGTCAGCGTGTTTTACTTCTCCCTTGTCTCATTAGCCTAATTTCTCCCAGCTGTGTCTTCCTCCTGTTTCTCATTCCCTGATTACTTCCCTGTGTATATAAGCCCTGTGTGCGCTGTTGGTGTACAACATTATATACCAGCTAGTCCAACCTCAGTAACCCTACAAGCATCACTGCTGTTTAGTTTTCTGTCTGTGTTTATGTTGGAAGTGATAGCAGAGCTGTATGTTTGAATTTTTTCAGAAATCCCTCAGTCAGAACATGCTGTATCATGTTTAGGTGGAAACTAGCGAGCTAACTTCCTGCTAACTTCTAACTCCATTAAATTTAGTAAATTCTGTTTTCATGGATGCCTGGATGTTAGACTTGTTACTATCACCTCAAGAATATTTCAAGGATAAAAGATCTGATGTCTCAACA